GAAACTTTAGCATGTACAGCCATTTTTCTTTAGGACAGAGAATTTGAAAAACAAACTCGAAGGAGTATCAGCTAGTTGTAAATAATCAAGTCCCCAGTGCTTTTTTTTTGTTGCTTTCATTCTTTATTCATTTTTTTCCCATCTTTTGTTAAATCTTTACCAGTGACAGCCATGACATCTCACATCTAACAAGAGCTCAAGTAACAGTTTACATGTATGCAATCCACTGCAAATATTATAAAGTGAACAATATGGCACACAATATATATAACATAGGAACAATTTCACCATAATACAGACAACGAAGCTTTGCTGGTGGCAATAACTGAATTAATAGCGTGGTTGGCCAAGGCTGATAGTGCTGAGAAATTCTTCAAATATTCTCTTTTCATTTCATTTGCATTTTCTGCACTGGAAACACATAAACATATACTGTACATCTAAAACAACAAAAGTGTAAAAATAAACATACAAAAAAGATTCAGTTGATTACTCAGCTTGGTCCATGATTATCTCATGACTTTTATTTCACAACATATCACCCCTTAATAATGCTCTGTAGAATATTCTTCTATTTAACAATTCCATTTTCGCTTTACGCTGAAAGAAAAGAATTAAGACGTTTCATATTTCCCCCCACCCCTCTCGGCTTGAACATCAAGCCTCAGGGCCAGAGGTATTAGAGGGACTGCTGGATATTTTATGGGCTTTTATAGCGAAGGCTGGGTGAGCAGCGTGAGGGAGGGAAGGGAGGCGCTTACGTGGTGGAAGTCTGTGTGATGCTCCTCTGGCTACTCGTGCTCTTGATGGCGAAGGTTGAGGAGTTGCTCTTGTGGCTGGAGTCAAAGTCACGCTCACAGCGGCACTGGGATGACTTGAGGTAGCGAGCAGAGCAGCACAGAAAGTTCTGCCTAAGATCCTGGAACAGATGCCCGGCGAAACACATGTAGATCCAAGGGTTACAGCAGCTGTTGAGGCTGGCCAGCAGCATGGAGATTATGAAGGGCATGGCTGCATGTGAGAAGAGAGAGAGGGAGAAAAGTCACTGTGGTGTGATAGTAAAAATGAGATGTATTTCGAGTCTAGATTGAACACCAACTTGTTTTCCACTGTGAAGTTTGATTTATTCCATGAAACAGAGGTTTGGTGGCTGGCTGTAAGTGTATCTAATGCAGTTCGTGTGACACAAAAGTATTTACATACTCCCTTCCTTTGTGCACACACATTTTTAACTGGTGAGGATTTCTGCATTTCTCACATCAGACATTTGACTTGTCGCAGTTAGGAAACCACAGGGGCAGCTAATGATGGAAGAATACTATTAGGAATCCCGGTGAGTCATGACAGAAACTGGCATGCACAAAATGAAGGTCTCCCCTGAGTGCAACGCCGCCATCATTAACTTTCTGAACCACAAAACCAGCTGGCAGGTTTGAAAAGCATATTACCGTTAGAAGATTGCCAAATTACACCTTTAATCAGAGGCCGAAACTGTAAAAACAGAGAGAATTTTCTGATTTTCAGCCTTCCAATGGTCCTTGAACTAATTGTTTGTGCTGTTTGGGTCCATCAGGAAAAGTAACCAAATCAAAATCTAATGTAAATTTGTGATATTTCATTCAAGTTACTGTCCTCTACATATCATATTTAAAAACATTTGCCAAAAACAGTTAACTCCAAATATAATTTGTTAAACAAAAAAACAAAACAAAA